TCTCCTCTTCGTATGCTGAGAGAGTCGTGGGAAGGTCAGGGTGATGATCCTGTAGTAGTGGAATATGTCCTCACCTTATTGGATCGTCTAACAAAAGCCCAAGAACTGACCGAGAGTGCGATGACCAAAGCACAGCAGAAGGCTAAGCTTTACTACGATCGGACAGCTAAAGCACGACACTTTGCTGTAGGAGACAGGGTCATGTTGTTGAGGCCCTCCCAAAAGAATAAGCTTGAAGTGCAATGGGTCGGCCCGGCCGAAATTACTCGAAAATTGTCTGACACCAACTATGTGGTAAAATTACCAGGAAGTCGTAAGGCACACCAGGTGTATCATAGCAACTTACTCAAACCCTACAAAGAGAGGGAAGCCATCGTGAACATGACTTTAAATGTTCCGGAAGAGGTTCCGGCAGAAATCCCTGAATTAGCTCCCGAATCGGACGAAGTCCCGATCGAGAAAAGAGTTGAGGATTTAGTATCAAAGTCACAACTGACAACGAAGCAGAAGCAGGAATTGCGTGGTCTTTTGACCGAGTTTCAGGACAGATTTGTAAGCGAGCCAGGCCGGACATCCGTCCTCACTCATGACATAGAGCTTACCTCGTCGGAACCGGTAAGATCTAAGACGTATCGGGTGTCACCTCGCCGGCTTGAGCTAATAAAAGCAGAGGTTACAGGATGCTGGAATTGGGCGTGATTGAGCCGTGTGAAAGTGATTACACTTCCCCGTTAATTCTTGTGGAGGTACCCGGCAAAGATCCGCGTCCTTGCGTAGACTATCGTAAGTTAAACCTCATCACCAAGGATCAGACATACCCAATTCCCCACATTGAGGAACGCGTCGAGAGGGTAAGCAGCGCGCAATTTATCTCAACGCTAGACCTAGTGAGAGGTTACTGGCAGGTGCCGCTCACCGAGAGGGCGAGCCGGTATGCTGCATTTATTTCACCATTGGGGACATTCCGCCCTAAAGTGTTGAGTTTCGGCCTAAAGAACGCGCCTTACTGTTTTTCAAACTTAATGGATAAGGTTTTGCGTGGTCAAGAGGACTTCGCATTGCCTTACTTGGACGACGTCGCCGTGTTTTCCTCGTCCTGGCCAGAACACTTGACGCATTTGAGAGCAGTACTGACACGCCTACGCGAAGCAGGTTTAACGGTAAAGGCGCCCAAGTGTCAGCTAGCACAAGCAGAGGTACTCTATCTCGGGCATGTTATCGGTCGAGGGCATCGCCGTCCCTCTGAAATGAAAGTGGCAGCTATCCGAGACTTTCCCCAGCCCCGAACGAAAACCGATATTCGGGCTTTTCTTGGAATAGCTGGTTACTATCGTAAGTACATCCCTAGATATTCCGACATTGCCAGCACTCTTACTGACGCGTTGCGCAAGACCGAGCCCCAAATGGTCGACTGGGATGAGGAGAAAGAAAAGGCTTTCCGCGTTTTGAAAGCGGCCTTGTCGAGCCAACCTTTGCTTAGTTCACCGGACTACTCGAGGCCTTTCATAGTCCAATGCGACGCTAGTGATAGAGGCAGGGGGGCAGTTCTTAGTCAAAGGGATGAGGGGGATCAAGAGCATCCCGTCCTATATGTTAGCCGGAAACTCACCCTTCGCGAGCAGGTTTACAGCGCTAGCGAAAAGGAATGTGCGTGCTTGGTTTGGGCAGTCCAGAAACTGGCTTGTTATATTGCCGGAAGCAAGTTCATTGTGGAAGTGGACCACTGTCCTCTCACCTGGCTACAGACCATGTCCTCTAAGAACGGCCGCCTGCTGCGTTGGAGCCTCGTTTTGCAACAATATACGTTTGAAATACGCTACAAAAAGGGTGTACTCCATGGCAACGCTGATGGTTTAAGTCGATGCCCCTGACGCGAGAGGATGTCTCGAGAACTCTGGCATTTTTTTTTTCCTGACCTAGACAAGAGCTAGTGATTGTTTTTTTTTTTACTCTTTTAGGTGTACTTGTTTGAAAACGTTGAAGACACGGCTATCCAGGGTTTCGGGTTCGGTGTGCTTCCAGTGTTGTTGTTTTGTGTCACCTTAAAGTGTGAGTAACATTTTGAATAAATTGTGTATTTCCTTTAATATCAGTTAAAGGGGAAAATTGCCTGGTGGAGTTTGGCGGAATTGTCCGGCGCTCACCGGCTGAGTAGTTGTGTTTTCATGTGCGTATGTGATGTCTGTTGAGCCCACAATGAAGCAGGTGTTGCCCTCTGCTTCATCAAAGATGGTCGTCACCAAACCGACTGCCGGCGCTGATCTCTCCGGACAGTGGCTGCAAACCTCAGCCCATCGAGATCTTCACCCCCTCGCGCGAGAGACTGTTACGACCAGCCCTAGGGAACCAAGCAAGGAGAGTTTGGGGGAGAACCGGTTCTTGACCGACGGGGTCGTCCACCCCCACCTCCCCATTCAGGCTCCTCCTCTCACCGGGAGAACTCCGGACTCTGCTGTGCGTTCGTGACCATGTTTGGTAACATTTTAGGGCGCCGTGACCATATATGGATTCCGTGTTAGGTTGTGCCACTCCATGTGTTGTGAGAGGTGTTTCCCCTCCCTCGTGGCCGAGGTGCCGGGGACACCGTATTGGCTGACGATGCGGACAAGGCGCCCAGTGTCAACAACGTGGCGCTATAAAATGCCGAAGACGTTTTGTATCACACTCACTCTTCTCTCTTTGGGTCAGTTGACCACTTCTCCACATGTAAATAAATCTCTGTTGTTCGTTCGGGCGCTTCTTTCTCGCTGAATTGTTGGACGATGGATCCTGCGACGGGGCCAGCTACCGAAAACGAGACCGGCAGGACCCGGAGTCCCAACAACTCCCGGAGTCCCAACATCGGTGTGCCACGGATGTACTTTTTTTGCCTGCACACGCATGCGTCGTGTTTTTTTTCAAATGCCTGTATATATATTCTGCCCTTTCTAATAAACAGTTTAGTTGCGAGAAAGCGCTTGTCCTCTCTCCCTGTCTGTTTTTCGTGCGCTTTAACTGATAGTTATATCAGCAATACGACTTTATGGCGTCGTACAAGAGTGGCCGTCGTCACGCTGACGCAGACTGCCTCTCCCGGATTCCTCTTGCGACTACTGACTGCGATGCTGAGACTTTTGACGACTGCCTTGCTGCTGTTACAAGCACGTTCCCCAACGCGGCTGATTTCCAGAGAGAACAACGCAACGATCTCAACTTGGATCCTCTTTTTTGCCGCCGCACGTGCCTCCCAACACAGCGGTCGCTTTACTGTCCGAGACAAGTTGCTCTATAAAACTAACTACTCCAGACCTGGAGCACGTTTTCTTCTAGTTGTCCCCAAGAGCCTTCGCTACGATGTTCTACGTGCCATGCATGACGATGCGACGTCCGGTCACTTCGGCTTCATTAGAACGCTGAACCGCACGCAGGAACGCTTTTACTGGCCCAAGATGTACGAAACGACGAAGCGTTACGTCGCTAGCTGCGAGACGTGCCAACGTCACAAGCGCCCGGCCACCGCTACACCAGGTCCCCTTCAGCCGTTAACACCACCCAGCACACCTTTTGAACAAGTAGGAATTGACATTATGGGTCCATTTCCGTTATCTAACAATAAGAAGCGTTGGATAATCGTCTGCGTAGATCATCTTACGCGTTATGCCGAAACCGCAGCAATTCCCTTGTCACACACGGGTCCCGTTAATTAGGGAGGTGATCGCCGGGCTAATTCCAAGGGCCGAAGTATTGGCCCCCCGAACCGCACCACGAAAGCGTGGACAATTTAGAAGTGGTCCTTTTTGGCGCGCCAGCGGACGCCGGCTGTGGCCCAAAGAACAAGTCAGAGCCGAGAGTTGATAAACAAAACAAATATTATATTCTCCGAATTGGCAGATCGAAAATAATACATAAGAATGCACACTCCACAATAGTTACATACAATACGTCGCCAAACAAACAACCTACTACACAGTACAAATAACCACACTTGAAACAACGGACACCTCCTGTAAATAAAACCATCTTATCACAGCTCGCTGTTACAATATCACAAGTGTTGAATCAGTCCGGTAGCCCCGAGAAAACTCTGCGATTGGTAGCTCCATGGTCCAAATACCTTGAAAGCGCTTTTACTCAGGTGATTTGGAACGCTACGGTGGTAATAGTATCTGAAGTTCTACATGTGAATACCACTATATATTTTAAAGACAATGCAATGGATGGCTCCAGAAGTTAGGATCATCTGGTGTTCCCGCGGCGGTGGTTTAGTAGATAAGGTACTCGGCAGCTAACCCGCAGTTCGCGGGATCGAATCCTGGCTGTGGCGGCTGCATTTCCGATGGAGGCGGAAATGTTGTAGGCCCGTGTTCTCAGATTTGGGTGGACGTTAAAGAACTCCAGGTGGTCGAAATTTCTGAAGCCCTCCACTACGGCATTTCTCATAATCATATGGTGGTTTTGGGACGTTAAACCCCACATATGAATTTATCAGGACCATCTGGTGTTCCTTAACATGCACTAACACGGCACAGTACAATGGCCTGTACCGTTTCGCACCCACTTCCGGTTTTCTTAATATTCACATCTTGTGAAAGAAAAAAAGACTCCTACAGAATTGATGCTTCAGGTTCAAGGCAACATTTACACTGGATACGTATGATATCGGACTATAATTTTCGACCAAGAACCAATAAACTATGAACAAAATTATTGAAATTTAAATCAAATAAGTTTATTGAAAAGCAGACAATTTCTTTGTGAGCAGCAATGATTGCTCCGACACCTAGCGGAGCCATACTAAACTGCATGCTTCTTCCTATGTAGCCTCAGAGATTCGCTTCAGAAGTGTCACGAAACACAATGTTTACTACGGCAATACATCAATGCACACGAAAGCTGTAACACGAATGCCACTGAGACACACTTTTAGGCAAGGATTAGGGTCGTCCGCTATTCTTTCAAATTATAGTTTTACAAAGAATCTATGGTAGCTGATGTGCGCATTACTGCTGCATGAAATGCAGGACAAAGGCACAACCCAGTACGACCTGGTTCTCGTGGGCCACTCTCTCGGAGCCGGGGCGGCAGCCATATTGGCCATTTTGCTCAAGCAGGACTTTCCCAACCTGCTGTGCTACGCGTACGCGCCACCAGGGGGACTCCTCAGGTGAGTGTGTGTGCTCCGGCTGCCTGGAAGGCTGTTATTTGGTGATGTAACAATCAGCCTGAACGGTGCTTTAGAAGTCTGAATTGTATGTGCTTCTGTTTGAATAGAAGGAAATGTAACACCAATTTAAGTTTCTTTTAGTCTAAAGGAGATGGCTTTTTTTTTTCATCCCTTCTCCCCCTCTCTGAAAACGAAATGAAGCTTGATGTAGTTTGATTTGAACATTGTATAAGTGACTTTGAATATTGAATACTTCATTGATATGTACAGTGAAGAACGAGCTGAAAACTGTCCCTCATTTATCCAATATTTTTTCTCACTACAAGCACTGATTAATACCTAATAATATTATTATTATTTATTATTTTATTATTACTTACTATTATTAGTAATACTATTATTATTACTATTTTATTATTATTATTATTATTATTATTATTATTTATTATTATTATTATTATTATTATTATTATTATTATTATTATTATTATTATTATTATTATTATTATTATTGACAGATTGCATGTGCGCACGTAGTTATGAGTAGTTAATAAGGTTACCATAAAGCACAGAGCTATTTTTACGCAGTCTGTTGTATGGTAAATCAAGTCTAGCCTCCCCTGCCTCCCCAATCACCTGTGCGTGCGCCTGTGCGAATCTCCTGCAAGAAATATTCGAAGTGAAGAGAAATTTTGTCCTTTTCCGAGATTTCAAGGCACGACCTACGCATTTTTGGTGCGCTCACCCGGATGGTTGCGTAACAGCTCCGCAACGGTACTGATAATCGGTTGTCGTCAACTGGAACGCAAAACTGTCTTCTATGAAAAATCATCCTCTCTAAGGGATCCGCATGTAATACCGCGCCGGTGTCACAAGGGACGCCGGTTCAGCACTTTTTGGATGTAAGCTGCTTTTTCGCCCAGTACTGTAGCCCGGATTGATATAACTTAACTTATATCAATATTCGTATTTACGAGGATTGATAAATACAGAGCTCACATTTATTCTTAGATTGCAGCTGACTTCAGCCTGGCATATCGAACGAAACAAGAAGTGCTTAGAGTCGACATTTTGTATAGTGTGCCGAACAGAACGTATAACCAAACTTATATCAATCCCGGCTCTTCAACGCGGCATCTTCAACGAAAAAAGTGTTTCCAATTGAGAAATCTTCATATATCACTGTTCCGGTATCGCAAATCAGTGACGCCAGTTCAGCACTGTTTGAGTGTAAGCAACTTTTCTACCTCACGCTGTAGTCCGGATTGATATAACCAGAGTCAAGACTCCCCCCCCCCCCCCCCCCCCCCCTTTGCATCGACGGCACCTCTCCCTGCCAAATTCGCTGAGTGGCGCCGAATGCAAGCGTAGCCAGCAAAGCCGCATTTAGAAACCGGAAAGTCTCCGTCTACGAATCGTGCTCGCAGTTTGGCAGTGCATGTTTCATTCCCTGGCAGTACCCTCGACAAACGAAGCGTTAAAGAAGAACACAACGCGGAATCTATCCGCGGAGCTTGCCCTCCGTCTGTAGCTTCCCAGAGTGGAGCGATGACGTTCCCTGTGGGTGCCATACGGCTCGCCCTGACGGTCTCTGTTTGTGTCTCGCTGCGTCGCCAGGTGCTCGCCTGTTTATCGCACCCCTCCTCCTCAAACCCTCTCTCAGCCTACCCGCCGTGGAGTACAGCAAGGCGTTCATCACGTCGGTGGTGTTGGGCAAAGACGTGGTGCCCAGAATAGGACTGCACCAGATGGAGGCCCTGCGCACAGATCTCATCAACGCTATCAAAAGGAGCGCCGACCCCAAGGTGCGTAGACGTGCGTGCCGCGTACTCTTGTCACTTCTGGATGCCCCTCTTGTGCCAATTCAATCGTTCCCTCGCTCTTTCACTGATTCCACGCATTCATTCACTTCATTTCATCACTCACTCACGCACTCACGCACTCAGCTAATTCATTCATTAATTCATTCATTTATTCATTCATCCATTCACTTATTCATCAGAGTTGTCCTTCGCGCCTAAATTAATATTTCGGTAAAGTAGAAATAAGCCTCATCTTGTCGACGGGTTCAATATCAGTGTCAATTGGTGCCACGCGTTGATGTCCCAATCAAAGCGTATACGTTACGTAAGGATTAGGCCTCGCTGTTAAACGTGCAGCCACCTGCACACTCAGGTCTCCCTTCGTTCGCTCTTTCATGAACGCCGCTACAGCGTGGAAGTCCGTGATGGTTTATATATGATGCAAAGACTCGGCCACAACATACGTGCGCAGCCGCTGTGACGTTATCGTTATTCATTGATAGTACCACTGGCGTCGGTTTGATTGAAAACAGTGAACAATACGCGCGGTAGAGAAAGAGAAGAACGAGGGATGGCGCGTGGCACGAGAATCTTGTTTTTTTTTTTTTGCTGGAATAAATGCCAGCGTCGAGACCACGGTGTAATATACAAACGATTCTTTGTATCTCATACCGTGGTCGACACTCATTGCTCGACTTCTCCAGGCGTATTTGTCCTGCAAATCCAGTTAATCTACGGACAAAATCTTCGGATTTTACATTGGTACCGAAACCCGGAAACGAACCTGGGACCTTTAGACCTTCAGGTTTCTCAGTTACACGTACCTTAAAGATTGAGCGTGGATGCAGCGATGATTAAGCTGCCTGAGTCTACAATACAGGAAAACTGTGTCGATTGACTATTTCACCTTAGGCATAGTGTGCTACGTATATCACACTTGACATGTCTAAAAGAATACGTGAGTGTTTTTTTTTTTTTGAGAAGAATATAATTTTGTCGGAGGGTCGCGAGTTTCGAGTAAGTTGTTGTCTCCACATGAAAGGAGTCATATCCGTGCAAAACCTGGACTCAACGAAAAGAGTATTTTAGAGCGTAACCACTTTCTCATACAGGCGCGAGCCTCTGGTAAATACTAATCGTGCCTTGACCAAAGAGGTTCACACCCGGCCTAGCACCTTGCTTTGAGAATAAGGGATTGATAGATTGATTTATATGTGGGGTTTAACGTCCGAAAACCACTATATGATTATGAGAGACGCTGTAGTGGAGGGCTCCGGAAATTTAGACCTGAGAATAAGGGAGTTATGTAGTGATCGCATGGAGAGTATGCTGAAGAAAGTTATCAAATGGAGAAAGTACCCGTTGGCTCTCGCGGAACATGCACGTTCGGCTTTAATTCGTCGGCCATTTTGTATTGTCGTTCTTATACTCTAACCATGGGATTCCCAAAGCGTTTTGACGTTTGGCGTCAGTAACCGCGCAAGTCCATACGAGTATACCGATTGAGGCAAGACGCTCTTGTCGCCACTGGCAACGATAGAAACGATTTACTGTAGTAGGTTACATCTTACTTCCAATAAGAGTGAACACGAGCGCCATAAAGGGACATCAACACCTCCGTGGTGGTCTAATGGCTAAGGCACTCGTCTGCTCACCTGAAGGTCGCGGGATCGAATCCCAGCTGCGGCAGCTGCATTTTCGGTGGAGGTGAAGATACTGCAGGCCCGCTTTTTCTTTTCAATTTGGGTGCACGTTAAAGAACCCCAGGTGGTCGAATTTTCCGGAGCTCTTTACTACGGCGTCTCCTCACTATCACATGGTGGTTTTAACGCGATAGCGTTAAAGCGCTCGTGTCGCCGAAAACCCACCGCCAGCGTCGGCTCCGTTGTTTGTGAGCGAAAAATTGTCTGTGACCGAAAAATCAAGTTACCGAGATAGCCGTGGGAGACCGCTACTTGTCCATGCGCGCGCGCGCGATCACACTGAGAAGGCGCGCATTCGAAAAAAAAGTGCTCAAGGTCACGGGGCGCGGTAGTTTCTTTGCGCCGCCACCCCTCCCTGCTTATCTCTCAGCGCTTTTGTCGGGACGAGAGAAGAGATAATGCAATTGCAGCATGCGACAAAGCTTTGTAACTCCACTCGCACTGGACGGATTCCTAAAATGTTTGCGACGTTGAATTCATGAGGCAATAAACTCTTCTAGTGAATTCATTCTATGGTTACTTGAAAAAGCCTTTGAGGGCCCCTTTAACGCATTTTGTTCGACAGGTGTGACGACGAAAACGAGCCCATTCGGCGATAATAGCGCGCCCTGGTCCAATCTACTGTGTGCGTGTTTGTGTGCGTTCGTGTGTATGTAACAAATCATATGAGTAAGTATGCACTTAGCAGTTGAAGGGTGCTCTAGAGGCCGGATTTCGCTATCGCGTTCAACTCTGAAAGGCGAAGCTTAAAGGTCCCCTAATTTTTTTTGAAAATTTGGGTGCAGGTTAAAGAACCCCAGGTGGTCGAAATTTCCGGAGCCCTTCACTACGGTGCCTCCTCACATTCACATGGTGGTTTCGGAAAATTAAACTCCACATAATATTACTAACAAGAGACGTTAATGTCGCAACCAAAGAGAATTCGCGCACAGCTTCCATGTAACCACATGCGTTCGGTTCCGTGAGGTCATTCAATCACACTGCGCGTGTTTCAGCTAGTTTGTGTTTGCAGACACATCTTTTGTGTCACTGATATTAGTCCGAAAACCTGAAAGCCGTAGCGAACTTCAACATATTAGGAAGTCACTGCGTAGGGAAATGTAATATTTCGATAAGTGTTTTCGATAAGCGTCTTGTTTACATTCACGTGAAAAAAAAAAGAGAACACACTTATGGTTCGTAAGAAAACCAGATTGGAGTAGTCTTTTATACAAGTAATAAACAAAAGAGCTACGGGTTTTCGGGTGGAGCTCATATTTATTCTTAGGTTGTAACCGACTTTAGCCTGGCATATAAAATGAAAAAAGGGGTATTTAAATTTGACGTTTGCAGTGTACCGGACTGTACGAGAAGAGGATCCGTCGGGTCGAAGAAAAGACGAAGAAGATCGATGTCAGATCGATATAAAACAGTTAACAGTTTATCAGTATTGGATTCCTATTTGACATTTAACGTTGATCGTGATTATAAGGGTGATGATATTTCGACGCAAAGCCGACAGCACATAACAGTCCGGTAAATGACGTGACTAGTAGTGATGAGCAGACTGAAAAAAAAAAGAGGAAAAGATGCAGGAATTTTGATTATAGCTCTAAATACGGAATCAAAGCATCAGCGTTGCCTTTATACAGCTCGAAACACCTTCATTCATGCCGAATGTCACTGATATTTAAAGTCACTGGTACTGCACTGAATTTCAATGATATCTAGAGGAACTTGATAGCCAAGATTCGACAACAATGACCCACCATATGAAATATACTAGTACAGAACCGTAATTTAATCATTCGGTTAATGCACCCCTTGATCACGTATTATATACCATAGTATTTTTTTCCTATGGTTTGACGTCAGTTCTAAATAACTGTTGGCATTATTCACGAACTGCTGAGCCGTTCTGTTCTTGTCGTTAGCGCTACGCGTTGCAATGAACTGTGGCTAACTCGCCCAATTTTACGCTTTCTTGAGCATTTGGGTGATTAAGTTGCTGAATTTTTCTTTTCTATATTGCTACATGCATGGTCCATAGAGTTTATTTCTCCTGGTTTGTAAATATGTTTTGTAGACTCGTTTTGTCCATGTATTGAAACATCCTTGCCTACTATACTGCTATACCCACACTTAATTTTTTTTCTAGTGCTTGATTTAACTTTATTTATACTTCCGGTAAACGGAGCACACATGTTCTCCAGCTAGCTTATATAAAAAAAAAGACATGAAAGTTTTCTTCGAAGAACTTCGAAACTTCTGCTCTTCCCTTCTCGAAACTTTTTTTCCAAGTGTAGCGCGGTAATTTGCTTGAAAGTGCCGGCGCCAGATGCACGCAGATAGGTCGTAAGAGCGCCCCGCTGCTTTTCACTGTACGTCTGCTGCGGCTTGATTTTATAGAATTTTGATATCGAAATAAGACGCCTCGAGCTTCACTTATTCAATTACTGTCACTCAATTTTTCCTTTCTTCGTCGAGAGGACTCCAGGCGTAGCGATTACCTTCTTAGAAGTGCGTTTTCCTTTGAAGTTATGCAATCGTATTCACAAAAGTAAAATTTCCATTACTCACATTATGTATTCGAACGTGTCTTGCTCCCCTTCCGTTTTTTTACTTGGTAAGTGTATACTTAAAATTAAGATATACAGCTATAAGGCGTAAACCTTAATTTTATTATCCAGTAACAAGCTATCCGCATTTCGTATAGACTTTATCTCGATATACATTGATTCCTGAAAGAGCGGAAATTTTCCCCAAATATCAAGATATTGATTAGGTCTTCGGTGATTCGTTAATGCAAATAGCCCAGCAGCGAGGATATCGTCATGAAAAACATAATGATTATTTCTACTGCTTAGTTTTTAGAATAATGACGCACTTTTTTTTCTATCTTAGCGCCCCTTGCGCGTAGAAGGGTAAGAACGAATGCGGCACTCTCCATAATATGCAGATCCCTCAAGTGTATAATAAATCGGCTGCGTATCGCAGGAACGTAGGGACCTTGGATAAGGTGGCGGTGATGATCGATTTCGCCAGTAAATATCATGAGTAGAGGCACACGCAACCGCGTGTCTCGGTGCCGTCATCAATTTCGCCGGGGAGGCCGTACGTCATAAATATGATAATGCGAGCACCGGAGCTCCACAGATACGTAGGCCCCGTTCACTGGTTATATTAGGAGGAACAAAAGTGAATAATTTTGGTTAGCGGTCTGCCGCGTTTGCTGTAGTCACCGTGCCCTCGCTTCCGAATTCGTGATTTGTTATGTCCCTCTTTCAGTGACAGACTTCAAGAAGTGTCGTTTTTTTCACTCCAATTTTAGAATCTCTTGCTGCCCCCCCCCCCCCCCGCCCCCTTTTATTTATTTGGTAACATCTCTTTTCTATCGTCTTTCACTCTCCTTCACCTCTGCCTCAGCACAGAGCAGCCAAGTGGTCTAAGAATCTAAGAACAGTCGAACCTCCTTGTCCTTCCCCATGTTTATATATATATAAGGGAGTGAAGCGTATACCTAAGGGCTCGTTTTCCGTGTTTTGACACAATATTAATGAGATCTAACATACAGTAATGCCAAGGAATGTACAGGGGAAGTTATTAGAACCAATGGAATGTAAATAGGAAGAAAGAAAAGTGGGTGAAAAAATAACCTGCCATGAGGAGGAATCGAACCTACGACCTTCGAATAACGCGTTCGATACACACACAGTCACCTATATATATATATATATATATATATATATATATATATATATATATATATATATATATATATAGGTGTGTGTGTGTGTGTATTATCACATCGATGCCTGAATAAACGCGAAGGCATTTATTGTCTCGGAACACAGCTTTCGAAAATAGAAGCAGCTTTACTTGCCGAAATAAAATGAAGAAACGAGAACATGGTGGAAAATAAAAAAAAGTGTTTGGCACGCGCGTGAGCCAAGTGGTTACTGAGATCCGCTGGTTTATTGTTTTCGTTGTTAGTTAGGCAGTGCGTGCAGTCTTAATTAAGTGGGGCTCTATGTTTAGATTGGGTGGTGAGGACTCTACATCATTTTTTTTTTATTACAAGAGAGCGTGTCCGCGCTCGTCAAGTGCACCGTGGAATAGATTGTGCATGCAGGAGAGTCGAATGCCCGAAGGTGAAAATAGAAATAACATGCCGATACAAAGAATAAGAATGTATGTAAACTCGACTACAAACTAATTACATAAAATTGACACCTGCCAGCCGTGAACCCTCATTCTGTAAGTGCTATGGAGAGGCAGACATTCTATGAATACGAGTGCACAGAGTTATTCAAATGGTCCGCAAACACTGGAAATTAAAACAGAAAGATAATCTTGCGGTGAATAGAACATTTAAGCCCCGCCGCGGTGGTCTAGTGGCTAAGGTACTCGGCTGCTGACCCGCAGGGCGCGGGTTCGTATCCCGGCTGCGGCGGCTGCATATCCGATGGAGGCGGAAATGTTGTAGGCCCGTTTACTCAGATTTGGGTGCACGTTAAAGAACCCCAGGTGGTCTAAATTTCCGGAGCCCTCCACTACGGCGTCTCTCATAATCATATAGTGGTTTTGGGACGTTAAACCCCACATATCAATCAATCAATCAATAGAACATTTAATAAAATTGATGCTATTAGGAACTATTTATGATTACAGTTTAGCATATAGCAGAGATTCAGCTTGAACAAAACGAAACAGGAAAATCTTCCAGAGCTGGAACTCGTACTTGCGAGATGTTCCGGCATCATAAATGTTCGTAAGACAAATTTTGACGCAACAATGACTATTGATGTTATAGTAGCGTAAATGGCTAGTGTGTACATCTTCACGGTGAGCTTCATTATATTTTGGTTGAGTTTGCCCGCTGTTCTTATTGTGTCTAGAGCTAAATTCAATCGTCACTCTGTGTCCAGCATTAGCAGCCTCTGCTTGCACTCTGTGCTGACTGGTTACTCTATTTTTTAGACTATCGAGACAACTGTATTGTGAATGTAGAGTGTCAAAAGTATTGTGATTGCATTATGTAGAGGTGCGCCTATAGTGTAAGGCCTATGTTAGCTTCGACGGAGAAGCTGTACCACTAAGGCTAGTCAGGAAAGGTCACCTGATCATCGCCACCGTTCTACACTGACCGAACGAACTCCGTTTCAGGGTTTTGATGTACGAACACTCTATCAGTCTAGAGCACAAAACAGAATCGATGTTTCGTTACCAATACATATAGAATTGTCATAAAGGCCATGAGGCCATGGCCTTTATGGCCTTTCATAAAGGCCAATTTCATGGTCATTTCATGGCCTTTATGAAAGACCATATGACATGGCCTTTCCTAAAGGCCATGTCATAAAGGCCAATTGTCATAACGGTCATAAAGTCAGATAACTTGACGTATGAGGACACAATTGTTTTGCGAGAGGAATCTGACTATCTGAATGCGAGAGGAATCTGAATGTATCTGACTAACATGCTTGAATACGTACAGAACAAGGCCGCGCGCTTCATTCTGTCATCGTACTCAAAATACCGGAGTGTATCTGCCTTGAAGGACGAACTTAATCTCCCCCCTCTCACCCAACGCAGGCAGTTGTCAAGATTAATTTTTTTTCACACACTGTACCATCATCCAACACCATTCGCTCGCAAATTTATACTCCCGGCACCCCATACGTCCGCACGCGCTGACCACGCTCACAAAGTTGGCCCAATTTTTGCCCGAACAAACAAATATCAGAACTCGCCCCTTGTTCTGGCAATCAATGAATGGAATTCATTACCTAGTAGCGTAGTGGACCAAACAGACACTCCTCTCAAACCGCACTCCTCGCTTTTCTAGCTATTCAAAATACCCTGTAACTTGTCTTCATCATGCTCATCTTTTCTAGGCTGTAAATTTGTGTTCCTGCCTTCCAAATACCAGATTTTCTGTCACTTTTACACTTTTTTTATATGTTTCACGCTGTACTTTGCAATTGTGTACTTTTGCTGCCTTTATGGTATTGTAATGTCACTTTTGTTGTGTTGATTCTTTCTTTTTACAATATTGTACGTTGTGTCGGCTTTCAACCCATTCCCCCCCTATGTAATGCCCATTTGGGCCCTTAGGCTACCTAAATAAATAAAATAAAATAAATAGATTGTTGTCCTAAACATGGAGACGCAATTGCTTGCACAGAAGTTAGCTACACTAACAATTTGATAATTGATCTTGAATCTGTGCTCAACAGATATCTTCGCAATTTCTCGCACTTTACGTATAGGGCTTAGCGTGATTGAGAATCGAACCCTGCACCTTTCACTGGGCTGCCTATTATCGCGATTGCGTCGCGCGGTTGTCCATGCGACGATCGGTGACATCGAGGTACACTCTGTTTCCTCGGTCACCCTTACCCTTACTCCTGATATAGTGGAAAATCATCCTCGGAGGCGTCCTCTGTTGGCCCTGACGAGGTAACTTCGAACGGC